CCAAAGTTCGAAGTCCCGACGCTACAAACTTTTGACGGCACGGGATCACCGAACCAACATATTTATCATTTCAAGTCACAGACTGGAAATATAATATCGAACGATGTCATACTGGCTCGATTGTTTATTGGCACCCTCAAGGGAGTTGCCTTTAAATGGTTCAGGAAACTTCCCGTGGGATGTATCCAAAAGTGGACAGATCTAGAGAGACTCTTCCTATCAAGATTCTTTGAAGAGGATACAGAAGTCTCCATTCATACCCTTCTCGCCACTAAGCAGAAGAAGAGGGAGTCCATCAAAGCCTTCGTCAAAAGATTCCGAACCATGGCTCTCCGGTGTTCGTCAGGTATGACACAGTCTACCTTAGTGGAGACCTGTCGACACAACTTACAAACCGACCTCCTATCCCGAATAGGAGTTGCAGGATGTCGTTCTTGGAGACAACTAATCTCTCAAGGCGAATAGGCTCAAAAGATTATTGTCAGGGTCAAAGCTGAAGAACAAAGTAGGTAGGATCAACCTGAGCAATCGGACCAAGCCCAACCTTCTCCTGAGCAATCGGATCAAGCCCAATCTCCTCAGTCAGAAGGGGAAGATACTACGACCACTGAAGCTAATCCTCTTCAGTAGGATGTCGGGACTCCAATAACTATCACGTTAACAGTTACCTCTGATAGTCTATCAATCTGCCAATCCTCTTTAATAGGATGACAGGTCCACAAAAACTATCACGTTAATATTTACCTCTGATAGTCCATCAACTTATCAATCCGCTTCAATAGGATGGCAAGTCCACTAAAACTATCACGTTAATGATCACCTCTGATAGTCTGTTTTCTCCAAATTCCCCCATCAATCCTCTTCAGGTAGGATGACGGGTCTATCAAAACTATCACGTTAATGATTACCTCTGATAGTCCATTTCCTCTAAATTCCCCACCAATCCTCTTCAAGTAGGATGGCAGGTCCACAAAAACTATCACGTTAATATTTACCTCTGATAGTCCATCAACTTATCAATCCTCTCCAATAGGATGATAAGTCTATAAAGTTGCTCCAATCGCAACACACATCCTGTCACGTTAACACTACACCTCTGATAAAAATCCACGTATCGACTCTCCTCAATAGAGCGATATGTCCATAAAATACTGTTAGGTTAACATAACACCTCTAACAGTCAAACCCCCCCCAATGAACTTGTTAATCCTTTTTCAACAAGAATAGCAAGTTTTCATTATGAAATCCCCAACGGATTAAAGATTTTCTGGAATCATCCTAGGGATAATAAAGAAAATTTCTGAATTTCACTCTAAGTGGAAATTCATACCAAGTTAATATTACACATATGGCGCTTCCAACTTTCTTTCAGTGTTTCAAGTAACACAGGAAGAAACAGTGGCAAAACCTACGTATTTAACATTGTAGCACCAAAATCCATGTCTCACATGCATGGGGGATTTTATCTCGATCCCTAATTAGAGATAAGTCAGTATCTAACACATGCTGCCGGGTAACCTATTCCCGTAATAATAGCGAAGCCTACGCCTAACACGCGTCGCCGGTTAGTCTTTTTCCGTAAAAATGACAAAGTCTATGTATTCAAAATCATAGCATCAAGTCTAAGAGGGTTCATTCTCTTAGCACAACGTTACATGTGGAACGGACTTAGACAATCCATATGCTAGCCCGACTCAAACGGTAGTCGGTAAAGGCTTATCAAATCCGTTGATGGCTGAGGGTTTGCCAAAAATCATATGCATGTTTAAAGGCCCATCAGCTTAATGGACGTGAGCCGAGACTTGAAACAGATAAGCTAAAGACAAGTTTCAAAGACTTAGTCAAAAATGCACGGAAGCCACTTCCATGTCTCAAGTCAAAACGCCGAGGTCAGACCCGCGTTGCAAAAATCATGACGCCGAGGTCACACCCGGGTTCCAACTTTAAAAACACCGAGGTCACACCCGGGTTTCAAATTCAAAACGCCGAAGTCAGTCCCGCGTCTCAAATTTAAAATGCAGGGGTCCACCCCCGCATTCCAGAAGCAGGATTATGATGCATACCTTCACAAAGGTCCTACGTGGCAAATCCCTTCAACCAAGATGCCTTCGAAGCGAGTGCAGAGAACGACTCCTTTACGACAAGAAATCAACAGCTCCAGGATCAGAGTGAGATCCAAAGTATTCCGAAAATTCATCATAACCGACATTTAAAACCTTGGACCCAAGTGTAGGCTGTCTAAAAATCACAATAGATAGCTTATCCTCCATCAAACACCGATGATGGAAGTTACAATCTGACGACTTCCAGAAGGCTACAATTTGAAGACTTTCACGTAGATCGCTGAAGGTTACAATCTGACGACCTTCACGACAACCGATGGGAGCTCTAGTTCAACAGCATTCACAATCAACATCGGGAGTTACAATCTGACGACTCTCATATTCTCAAGGAGCCAAGACGAAGATTACAAGACAATGATCTTTGCAACGCTATGACAAAAGAGATTACTTTGTGATAATCTCTTCAAGATAAGACGCGGAGGTCCTCCCCGTGTGTCAACATCAAAACGCCGGGGTCGATCCCGCGTTACAACATCAAAACGCCGGGGTCGATCCCACGTTACAACATCAAAACGCGAGGGTCGAACCCACGTTACAACATCAAAACGCTAGAGTCGATCTCGCCTTACAACATCAAAACGCTGGAGTCGATCCCGCGTTACAACATCAAAACGCGAGGGTCGAACCCACGTTACAACATCAAAACGCCAGGGTCAAACCCGCGTTACAACATCAAAACGCTGGAGTCGGACCCGCGTTACAACAAGCGAAACGTGAGCGGCCCTCGCGTTCTGGATGTTCAGTCAACACCCAACCTCGTGTCTCAATCCTAAGATGCAAGGTTAGGGTTATGAACGCCAGGTTGGGCGTTTGACTCATTCAAATATGAGTCGAACGGTTTCAGAACCGTTTTCCCCACGATCTGAGGAAATCACGCCCACTTAGGAGCGGATTTAGAGGGCAGTTACACCCCCTTAATCCCCTATAAAAGCGAGAAAACTCAACTGAGTTAGGGGTTGGATTTTTCTTGGCTTGAATCGACCATTGAAGGCTGGCTTTTTGGAGCTGAGAATTGGCAGCTTTTCGGATCTGGGACTTGGCAGCAGAAGAGATCGACATTCATCTTTTGGGATCAGTCCTGAGAGCCTTCGGCCTGGGCTTGAAAACCGATTCTCGGTTCAATTTAACTCTTTTTCAAGAGTTTCCAACTCGTGCAGAGTTATCAACTCATCCAGAGTTCTAAAACTTGCCACGCAAGTTCTCCACAACGTCAAATCGTGAGGAGAAGACATCGTTCCAGTGAATCAAGACGTGCGGATCGTCAACGGAGAGCAAACTTGACGCGAACATTTGAGGGAGACACTCCATCGCCACCGTGAAGAACCCAGTTTTAAACAAAGAGAAAGAACCAATTTCGTTCTCCTCTCTTTTGTAATCAAGTTGTAACCGAGATTAAAAGAATCAAAGTCAAATTTCTTTTCTTCTCTTTACTGCAATTTTTCAACTGTCTTTGACTTCTTGTTTTTGGTTTTGGTGTTTGACCCAACCTAATCGCGAGACAAGATCAAAAAGAGCGGGCAATGGCATAGGCCACCCGCTTGTGTCACTTTTATTTTTATTTTTTTAATTTTCTATTTGTTTTTAATAATTTTCTATGTATTGTTTAACACTTACCAAATTATATACAATAAACAAAGTAGTAACCTAACTATTATAATAAATGAAAAAAATATTAAGTAAAATTGTATATTTGTGCAATGTGATAGAGAGAAATATTGTCAAAACACGAAGACTAAACATGGCTCAAAGTAAATCTTATGTCCACGACGAATAAATAATTGCCCCACTAATTTAATTGAAATGACACACGAACAAAAGAAAATACAACAAATTATAATAAAAATGCTTGTTTAGTAAAAAGAAACTTTAATTTGGGATGACCTATGGTATGATTGTCTAGTGGGCCAGCCTGCGTACATACAGGCCCGACGCACTTGTTGGACTTGGAGGGTTTTGGAGGGTTGAGCGAGCTACTAGCCTGTAGGAGCCTGGGTTAACCCAATATTAACCCATGACACTCTAGCGAGCTGAATATGATATGCCTCACATCGACCTAGAGCGGCTCAGGCTAAACGACGGGCTGATAGAGCGGGCTGGTGGGCTGACCTGACCCACTGTCCATCCCCTACTAGATGTAAGTAGGGTTGCCCAAATGGGCCGGCCTGGCCCGGCACGGCCCAGATTTTCGGGTTCGACCCGAGCAAAATACTAAACCCAGACCCGGCCAAACCGGACCGGGCTCCGACCCGAGCCGAATTTTTTGTATTTTTTTGCTAAATTTTGATTAAAAAATTAGATTAATCTTATTATATTTATAGAAGTATGTATTAGTATATACTTGTATATTAGTATATAGTTTTATATTATATGTAAGTATATATAAGTATACATTAATGATCAAATCATACTATAATTATATATACTATAATTATATATAGTATACATTAGAAATATATATAAGTATATATAAGTATATATTAATGACATTGTACACTTAAAAATATATAACTATACATTAATGATCATATCATATTAAAATTATATATAAAAATATTTAAAAAAATATAATATGTATACAATAAAAAACCAGACCGTATTAAAATTATATATAAAAATATTTAAAAAAATATAATATGTATACAATAAAAAACCAGACCGGGCCGAGCCCAGGTCGGGCTTCAACACCTGGGCCCGGGTTTTCGGGGCCCAAGTCCCATTTGGAGACCTCTAGCTGCAAGAGATCTTCCAGCAAGCTGCGTGGATGCTGTACGAGCACTAGGCACGTGTGATATGTACAGTCGTCCTCCCCATCTTTTCTTTTACAATTATATATGCAAATACGAAACAGCAAAAAGTTAAAGAGGTCATTAACAAGAAAAAAACAGCACTCTCCCCATCACCCCAAAAATCAAACACAGTACCATTTCCTCCCTCTTCTCTTCTTTTTCTTCTTCTTGTTCATTCCAAATGAATTAACTTGTTCTGGTGACCATGAGGAACAACGCAACACAAACCAGAGCCTTCTCCTCTTCCTCCTCCTCCTCAAGATCCTACTCCCCTTCCTCCTCCTCCTCTGTCCTCCCTCAAACCCCAATAAGAACAATGGAGCAAGTTTGGAAAGACCTCTCTTTCTTCCCTCATCATCCTCCTCCTCCTCCCCCCATAAACCCTAACCCTAACCCTAACCCTAACCCTACCTCTTCATTCAGAGGTGTCATTCTCCAAGATTTCTTAGCTGGCCCATTTAAGGAAACCCCAACAAGCTCTTCTGCTGCAGCCCATGACCATCATCACAATGATCATGAGGAGCATCAGTTCCCTTTGCCTCTGCCCCCAACTGCTCTAAGCTTGAACTCTGCAGGTCTTGATTTTGAGTACAACTCAAGGAATGGAGACTGTCGGGGTCCCCGGGTTAATGGCGCTTTTGTTGCTCCTGGGTTTGCTGATGCTGTGATTGGATCTCCACCAAATGTTGGGTTGTTCTCATTTTGTGATCAGAACAGGAGAGCTTCCATGGAGAGTGGTGGAGATCGAAGGCACAAGAGAATGATGAAGAATAGGGAGTCCGCTGCAAGATCAAGAGCTAGGAAACAGG